ATAGGGGTGCAGCGTTCACCTCGCACTTATTTAAGGAATACTGCGACAAACAAAAGATTCAGCATTTATTAATCGCTACAGCTGTACCTCGTGGTAACGGGCAGGTTGAAAGAATGCATAAAATTGTTGTAGAGAATCCAGGAAATTGGTACAGGCATGTCGGTAAAGTGCAGCAATTAATCAACAATATCGAGCTTAGGAGCACAAAAGTAACTCCGTTTGAGTTGTTAACAGGTGTCGATATGCGTGTGGTTGACATAGCGAAAGTGAAAGAACATGTACAGCAGTCTTTGATTCAGGAGTTAGCCGATGACCGAGATCAGATACGCAAAGAAGCCAGGGAAAATATTCAATGATGAGTCTGAGGTGACGTGCAGACGAAACTAGCTAGTCCTATCATAGTCGGGTTCACTGGGTGTAAGTGTGATGAAAGTTAAGTTGAATAAATCGTTGTGTTATAGAAGAAATTCAAATATAACCAACGTATGACCTCGAGTAATTCAATAACACTACAATTATTGTTTAGAAGGTCGATACAAAACCAACATAAACAAAAGGGATCCACTCGCCCTAAATTCAGCAATTAAACAATCTTCAACTATTTGTTGTATTTACCAGTCTGTATATCAAAAAAAAACCGAGGGTTTTTCAACCGACAAAACACTGAAAACTTTCACACACTGATAGAAGCTTTAACGACAGAACTCCACCTATGTTAAAACCAATGAACTTTGGCAACTCACAATGGCCAAAAAAAAGCTTCTCTGATCGTAACATTGGGGAGTTTCTGATGCTCTGCTTCCGTCCCCGTAGATAGCTGATGAGTCTGAGGTGAGGTGCAGACGAAACTAGCTAGTCCTAGTCATAGTCGGGTTCAATCCCCAGGGAGTGTAAGTGTGATGAAAGTTAAGAGGAATAAATCGTTGTGTTATAGAAGAAATTAAAATGTAACCAACGTATGACCTCGAGTAATTCAATAACACTACAATTATTGTTTATTAGGTCGATACCAAAACCAACATAAACAAAAGGGATCCACACCCCCCAAAATTCAGCAATTAAACAATCTTCAACTATTTGTTGTATTTACCAGTCTGCATATCGAAAAAACCGAGGGTTTTTCAACAGACAAAACACTGAAAACTTTCACACACTGATAGAAGCTATTACGACAGAACTCCACCTATGTTAAAACCAATGAACTTTGGCAACTCACAATGGCCAAAAAAAGCTTCTCTGATCGTAACATTGGGGAGTTTCTGATGCTCTGCTTCCGTCCCCGTAGATAGCTGATGAGTCTGAGGTGAGCTGCAGACGAAACTAGCTAGTCCTAGTCATAGTCGGGTTCAATCCCCAGGGAGTGTAAGTGTGATGAAAGTTAAGAGGAATAAATCGTTGTGTTATAGAAGAAATTAAAATGTAACCAACGTATGACCTCGAGTAATTCAATAACACTACAATTATTGTTTATTAGGTCGATACCAAAACCAACATAAACAAAAGGGATCCACACGCCCCAAAATTCAGCAATTAAACAATCTTCAACTATTTGTTGTATTTACCAGTCTGCATATCGAAAAAGCCGAGGGTTTTTCAACAGACAAAACACTGAAAACTTTTACACACTGATAGAAGCTTTAACGACAGAACTCCACCTATGTTAAAAGCAATGAACTTTGTGTGGTAGGACAACCACACACACACACACCCACACATCTACACTCTTTCTTAGAATCACTGTACTTTAAATTAAACGGTAAAGTTAACTGTAAATATAACTGTAAACTGTAAATATAATATAGTCATCACTCTCTAGCATTTACTTTAACTTAAGATATAAAATGTATACACATATTCGTCCCGCTCTCACGAATGAGCGGGCAGAAGAGAGAACGTGGTATGTGCGATTCACTCGACGTTGAGCTGTGGAAGAAGCCGGTCCTATAAAATAAAGATAATAATCTAAAACTACAAGCTATTCGGAGTGCAACTCATTCTATCACATTTGGCAACTCACAATTGCCAAAAAAGCTTCTCTGATCGTAACATTGGGGAGTTTCTGACGCTCTGCTTCCATCCCCGTAGATAGCTGATGAGTCTGAGGTGACGTGCAGACGAAACTAGCTAGTCCTATCATAGTCGGGTTCACTCCCCAGGGAGTGTAAGTGTGATTAAAGTTAAGAGGAATAAATCGTTGTGTTATAGAAGAAATTAAAATATAACCAACGTATGACCTCGAGTAATTCAATAACACTACAAACCTATAATAAATATAAAAATAATAATTATAGACAGAACAAGGGTTTCAAACTAAACAATTTGAGACCCAGAACACTCCGCAAGGCCAATCCCAAAATAAAAGGGTACCAACTGGAACTGTTAACCAACCGGCTAACAAGACGATGACATTAAATAATATTGAGGAGGACCATTTTTTAGACAAAGGTCAGGAGTAGACTTACCCTACTTAATTAGAAATGACACAAAAATAAATAAAAAATTAAAAATATTAATTGACACAGGAGCAACCGCTTGTTATATTAGAACAGGAATTTATAAAAATAAGAATGAGTATCCACAGTGAATGGATATTCAATAAATAAATATTATCACATGATAACTGTAAGGATGTTTCTGGCTAGGCCGGGGTGAAACCTCAGCGGGGCTCTCCCCCACAGAACAATTTATGAAAATAATGGGGGGGACCTTGGTGACTTGTGGGCGGTGGGCGACGGGTGTTCGACGACGGGTCGTTGACGGGGCTAACTGGGAACGGAGACGGGCAATGGATACAGCCATCGAACATGGACGTTGGACGCGGCCGGCGGGCACGACAGCCGGGCACGCCCGGTAGGCACGACCAACCGGCATGGACGGTTGGCATTGAGAGCGGGTGGACGAGGTAGCCCATAGCCATAAAGCAATCGAGGGTGTGTGTGTGTGTGTTTGTATGTGAGCGTGTGTGTGTGTGTTTCTTTTCTTTTTTTTCCTTTTTTTTTTTGGGGTGGTCTAAAGCATCGAAAGCCAACTCGGAGCTGAGATAGCTTGCCGAATTCTGAGACTCTAAGCCAGTAAGCCCTCCTCGCTTCCCCGGCGTTACTGCCGATAGGTATTACTTCGCCGGGGCGGAAATGCCCTTACGTCTCTCTCTCTCTAGGATTCTATCCTATTGGAATTTTGCAGTCTTTCTGCGTTGCGCAGCTTTGTGTGTACTATTGTGGCAATATTGCATACTGCAGACCAATTTTCTTCTGAAACAAGCATAATGTCCACCAGGTTACAAGCGGCTGGCGTCCTCCCAACCCTAATGCTCAGATCCCTTCGTTCATTTTCAAATCTCGGACAGACAAAAAACACGTGTTCTGCGTCTTCGTTATCCGACTCGCAGAGTGGACAGTGTGGATAACGTTCATGCTTAAATCTATTAAGATAGTATTTAAAGCATCCATGTCCTTTCAACAGTTGCGTTAAGTAGAAGTCCACATGTCCATGCTTCCGTCCCAGCCATCTCTGCAGTTCTGGGATAAGCTTATACGTCCATCGTCCTTTGCTACTTTGTGCCCACCTCTCTTGCCACTTCGCCATGGTAAGTTCTCTGCGCCTTTTCCGTAGGGATTCAGCTGTTTCGATTTCCGTGCTACCTGCTCGTGCTACATCAGCGTCGATGTGACAACGCTTACCAGTAATCTCCGACCTGGTTGCCTCGGTCCCCGAGTGTTTGCCATAATCCTCAAGATCGCGGCCGAGGTCCTACCTGCCCTGCCACTAGCGTACGCTAGATGTTCTTTGAAGGTTAGCCGGTGGTCAATCATGACACCCAAGTATCTTACGCTTGGGCGAGATTTAATTGTGGCTTTTCCAATTTTGATAGTAGCCGTCTCTACTATCTGCCTTCTTCTTATCAGGACTGCTTCCGTCTTGTGCGCTGCCAAAGTGAGGCCCTTGGCGTCGAGCCATGCGCTTGCTCGTTCCCCAGCATCGTTGCAGATTTTCTCTGCATCTGGTAGCTTCTTTGCAGTGACTACTATGGCTACATTGGCAAAGCCTATGAGTCGTGCACCTTCGGGCATCGCGATCCTAAGGATCCCATCGTACATGGCATTCCACAACAAGGGGCCTAGGACTGATCTTTGTGGGACTCCCCCGCTGACCCTGTGGGTCGATTGCCCAGAATCAGTTTCGTACAGGAGCAGGCGGCCTTCAAAGTAGCTCGCTATTACTCTCTATATATACATTGGAACATTAAGATTTCTAAATGAATTTAGTGTGTGGTCCCAGCTAGCGGAGTTGAATGCGTTTTTAACATCCAGCGTTGCCGCTATGCAGTACTGCTTTGTGCCGTACAACCACCTTTTCCCCTCGATCGCTTTATCTGCGATTTCGCACAGTTTACCGACAGCGTCGATGGTAGATAGACCCTTTCGAAAACCATACTGCATCTCTGAGAGGCCGTTGGTTTCGTCAAGAGCACCTTCTAGCCGGGAGTGGATAATTCTTTCAAGAATTTTACCCACCGTGTCTAGCATCCAGAGTGGCCTATATGAAGAAGGCTCCTATGTTGGCTTCTCTCCCTTTGGTATGAGTACCAGCCGCTGTATTTTCCAGCGACTAGGGAACACACCTTCTGTTAGGCATGCGTTATACATGTCAACATACTCTTTTGTGTTAGCCTTAATAGCAATTTTAAGGACTTTATTCGGGATGCCATCTGGTCCCGGTGCCTTGTCGTCCAGTATTGTCTTCAATACCCGGTGGACTTCTTCGGCACTTGTGAGCTTTATGCTCGCAGTATTCACGATCTGCAAGGTTCGCGCCATACTCTATTGCTCTGGGAATAGTGTTTCCACTATCCTCTTTAGGCCGGCTGGGCATGTCGGCGATGGCCTACTAAATAACCGAAGCCGTTTTGTGACGAGTTTATATGCGAAGCCAAATGGGTTGGAGTCTATTTCTTCGCATATATTATTAAAGCACCTGCGATTGCAGGTATTGGAAGTGCCTCAAATTCGGGCCTTCCTCTTGAGCGTTGGTATGCGCGTCTTGGCCTGTGGCAGTCTTTCCTGGCTTCCGCAATGGATTGGTTCCACCAGTATGCAGGCTTTCTTCCTGATGGGTTTTTCCCCTTTCTCTGCGTAGATGCATCACAGGCTAGCTTTGTGTAGTCTGCGATGTGGTTTGCCCGCTCTTCAGCTGTACCGCTAGTGGAGAGGTTCTCGAACAGCATCTGTACCATCTCCACGTCTAGCGTTTCTATTTTGTACCCTGGCACGGTCTTAGGAACCCGTGGTGGGCCATTTCTCGGTTTTATCGTGCAGATGTGAGTGTGTCTTTTTTTTTTTTTTTTTAGTGGTGGTCTAAGGCATCGAAAACTCGGAGCTGAGATAGCTTGCCGAAGTCTGGGACTCTAACCCAGTAAATTCTCCACCCCCTCCCCGCTTCCCCGGCGGAACTGCCGTTAGGTATTACTTCGCCGGGGGGGGAATGCCCTTAGGGCTCTCTAGGATTCTCTCCTATTGGAATTTCGCAGTCTTTCTGCGTTGCGCAGCTTTTTGAGTACTATTGTGGCCATATTGCATACTGCAGACCAATTTTCTTCTGAGACGAGCATAATGTCCACCAGGTTACAAGCGGCTGGCGTCCTCCCAACCCTAATGCTCAGATCTCTTCGTTCATTTTCAAATCTCGGACAGACAAAAAACACGTGTTCTGCGTCCTCGTTATCCGACTCGCAGAGTGGACAGTGCGGATAACGTTCATGCTTAAATCTATTGAGATAGTATTTAAAGCATCCATGTCCTGTCAACAGTTGCGTTATGTAGAAGTCCACATGTCCATTCTTCCGTCCCAGCCATCTCTGCAGTTCTGGGATAAGCTTATACGTCCATCGTCCTTTGCTACTTTGTGCCCATCTCTCCTGCCACTTCGCAATGGTAAGTTCTCTGCACCTTTTCCGTAGGGATTCAGCTGTTTCGATTTCCGTGCTACCTGCTCGGATCTCAACTGATTCCAATGCCAGCAGGTCAATCGGTATAACTCCCGATATTACCAACGCCGCGTCATGGGATACCGTGCGGAACGCACAGCATACCCGCAGGGCACACAGTCTCTTCACGGAGTCGGCATCTTGCATATAACTTCCATTTTTTGTGGCTCGGGCCCATATGGGAGCAGCATACATCAGCGTCGATGTGACAACGCTTACCAGTAATCTCCGGCCTGGTTGCCTCAGTCCCCGAGTGTTAGCCATAATCCTCGAGATCGCGGCCGCAGTCCTGCCTGCCCTGCCACTAGCGTACGCTAGATGTTCTTTGAAGGTTAGCCGGTGGTCAATCATAACGCCCAAGTATTTTAGGCTTGGGCGAGATTTAATTGTGGCTTCTCCAATTTTAATAGTAGCCGTCTCTACTATCTGCCTGGTGCTTATCAGGACTGCTTCCGTCTTGTGCGCTGCCAAAGTGAGTCCCTTGGCGTCGAGCCATGCGCTTGCTCGTTCCCCAGCTTCGTTGCAGATTCTCTCTGCATCTGGTAGCTTCTTTGCAGTGACTACTATGGCTACATCATCGGCAAAGCCAATGAGTCGTGCACCTTCGGGCATCGCGATCCTAAGGATCCCATCGTACATGGTATTCCACAACAAGGGGCCTAGGACTGATCCTTGTGGGACTCCCCCGCTGACCCTGTGGGTCGATTGCCCAGAATCAGTTTCATACAGGAGCAGGCGGCTTTCAAGGTAGCTCGCTATTACTCTCTGTATATACATTGGAACATTAAGGTTTCTCAATGCATTTAGTGTGTGGTCCCAGCTAGCGGAGTTGAATGCGTTTTTAACATCCAGCGTTGCCGCTATGCAGTACTGCTTTGTGCCGTACAACCACCTTTTCCCCTCGATCGCTTTATCTGCGACTTCGCACAGTTTACCGACAGCGTCGATGGTGGATAGACCCTTTCGAAAACCATACTGCATCTCTGAGAGGCCGTTGGTTTCGTCAAGGGCACCTTCTAGCCGGGAGTGGATTATTCTTTCAAGAATTTTACCCACCGTGTCTTGCATGCAGAGTGGCCTATATGAAGAAGGCTCCTCCGCTGGCTTGTCCCCCTTTGGTATGAGTACCAGCCGCTGTATTTTCCAGCGACTAGGGAACACACCTTCTGTTAGGCATGCGTTATACATGTCAACATACTCTTTTGTGTTAGCCTTAATAGCAATTTTAAGGACTTTATTCGGGATGCCATCTGGTCCCGGTGCCTTGTCGTCCAGTATTGTCTTCAATACCCGATGGACTTCTTCGGCATTTGTGAGCTTTATGGTCGCAGTATTCACGGTCTGTGAGGTTCGCGCCATACTCTCTTGCTCTGGGAATAGTGTTTCCACTATCCTCTTTAGGCCGGCTGGGCATGTCGGCGATGGCCTACTAAATACCCGCAGCCGTTTTGTGACGAGTTTATATGCGAAGCCCCATGGGTTGGAGTCTATTTCTTCGCATATATTATTAAAGCATCTGCGTTTGCTCTCTTTTATATTTTTTTCCAGGGCTCGTCTTCTTTCCCTGAAAAGAATTTGAAGTGCCTCAAATTCGGGCCTTCCTCTTGAGCGTTGGTATGCTCGTCTTGCCCTGTGGCAGTCTTTCCTGGCTTCCGCAATGGATTGGTTCCACCAGTATGCAGGCCTTCTTCCTGATGGGTTTTTCCCCTTTCTCTGCATAGATGCATCACAGGCTAGCTTTGTGTAGTCTGCGATGGGGTTTGCCCGCTCTTCAGCTGTACCGCTAGTGGAGAGGTCCTCAAACAGCATCTGTACCATCTCCACGTCTAGCGTTTCTATTTTGTACCCTGGCACGGTCTTGGGAACCCGTGGTGGGCCATTTCTTGGTTTTATCGTGCAGATTATTGCTGCATGGTCACTACCCATGTAGGTGTCACTAACCTCCCAGCTGGAGCCTGAGGCCAATCCAGCGCTCGCGAATGTGAGGTCAATGATGGAACTGGTTCCGGCTCTAGAGAAGGTCGGTTTCGTTCCAGAGTTCAGCAGCACTAGGTCAAGTGCGGCGAAGCTCTCTAGTAGTGCCCTTCCCCTCGCATTTGTTCGGGGGGAGCCCTAGTCGGTAGCCCAGGCATTAAAGTCCCCTGCTATTACGGCTGGACGGTTTTCCCGGGCATCTTCTGCAATATCTTCGAGCACAGATATTGCATGGGGAAGGCTATGGCTTGGCGGCAGGTAACAGCTATAGAAAGCTATACCATTCACATGGGCCCTAGCGAAGCAATTTCCGCTTTTTTTCTTGGTAATCTGAAGCTTTGGATTTCCGCAGCTCCATATTGCCGACTTTTTGCTATTATTTGATAGCCATTCGCCGGAATTTTTATTCCTGTATTGCTCACTTATGAGCGCAATGTCTACGTTTTCCTCGATGACATTTTGCTCAAGCAACGATTGGGCAACCTCACAATGGTTTAGGTTTATCTGAAGGAACTTCATTTACCCCTAAGCCCTTGCATAGCCCTCCTGAAGTGCGGGCATTTCCCACTCATGGTTGGGTGGTCGCAATCTTTCTCCTTCTTGCGTTTGCAGAGCATGCAGCAGGCCTTTGCCTTGCAGCCTCTAGCTTGGTGATCCTTTGCGCCGTAGTTGTAGCAACATTTTGAGCAGTCCTCCTGGGTCCTGCAATTTCCTGCTATATGGCCAAACTCCATACACTTAAAACACCTTTTAGGTGTTATCTTTGGGGGGATTCTACACGAAGTCCATCCCAGCCTAATTTTTCCCTTCTCTATGAGCCGTCTCCCTATGTCGGGCATGACTCTAAGAGTGGCGGTTTGGGTGCCCCCGTATGCCGCCCTTAGACTGACCACCGCGGATTCAGGCAGCTCCACATCGAACTGTGATTTAACCGCACATAGAATGTCCATTTTCTCGGTGGTCTCGTCTATGTCCTTTACGTCGACTAGCATTGTCTCAGTCAGCGCTCTGACGTCAACATTGCTGCTGTGTGTGTGTGTGCGTGTGTGTGTGTGCGTGTGTGTGTGTGTGTGTGTGTTGTGCATTTATTGCTTTGTTTCACTTTGTTTACTAGTTTTCATTTTGTTGTTTCGTCGTGTGTCCTTGCTGTTGTTTTATTTCGTTGTTTTCGCACTGCACTGCACTTAGTCTTTTTGTTTTGTTTCGCGACCACTTGAACCTCAACCCAGCTCTGCCCAATCCTCGGGTTGCTGGCTGCCCTGTCCGGCTCGACTCGAGCCTGCGCAGTGGGTCTCGGCATCCCGATCGCTGTTAATGGCAGTGTTAGCGATCGGGTGGGCGGGCGTTCGAAAGTGGGTGTGGGTGTCTTCGGTCTTGGGCTTTCCTCTGAACGTTATGGTTTTAAACGGTGGCGTGCTATTGTCTGTGGCGGGCTATTATTTTGAAAGTAAAAGGTTGTGTTGGATGAAGTTGGCAGGGCTATGGTGATGACTGGGCTATGGCGTTTTGAAATGCAAAGTAGGGGCGTTTATGTGACATCGTCTCACCCCCCTTTCTTCCGGGGAGAAGAAGGGACTCAACGGTGATGTAGCCGCGACAGGTAATGTGCTCTTGAAAATACCAACCCTCGCCCACTAACACAAAGTTCTGTAATCCGATCAATAGCGCTGACCGGAAGGAATCGTCCAGGTGGCCGCAATACCCACTCCTCCGGGGCCTCCTGGCATTCCGCAATCGATGCTTCTGGGTCTCTTAGCGAAGCTTCTGCTAATTCTACGGATGGTGGTGGAGTCAGTGGTACAGGGCTTCGGACTGTGACTGTTTTGGGGGTCGGTATCGCGTCTTGGGCCAACTCAGCAGTCAGAAAGATATCGTTTGAGGGCGGCGTCGGCGGGAGATACTGCTCCGGCTGGGAGGTCTGTGCCCGCAATTGAGCAACGGCTAGGGGCATCACGTCGAGCTGCGCCTGCAACTCACCGATGAGGATAAAGCGATGACCTCGGCCTCGACTTCATGCCCTGCCGGCCGGACTCCGGCCTCATCCTCCGATGCCAACTCGACGTCGGTAATGCGTCCCTCGTCTTCTGTCTGCGGGGCAGGTGACGGGAATTGCGACACCAGCGGGACGCCAGCAGCTGGAGTGCGGATGATGGCGACCTGAATTGAATTGGCCCGTCTTGTGCCGCTCGCGCGCTGACGAAGCCTCGGTTTCCTTGCCTCCTTGGTTCCGTTGTCCGCGGCGGCCTTTAGACTCTCCCTTGCTACGGCGCTCCGACGGGTCTTCTCTTCTGTGTGCGTTACCCGGTAACGGTATGACCCTCCCTCTCCCGCTCTCGCGCACCTAATGCATCTGTGTGCGTTCGATACCTCGTATCGTCCTCTCCCTCTCCGTGATCAGCATCTAGGGTACGCCGTATCTTGCAAGCGTTTCCGTGGTTGCCCTACGCATTGGCACCATTTCGGTCCACTTGGAGAACCTATCTACCAGCACCAGTAGCATAGAATTCCCGTGTTTGGAGCGTGGCAGTGGACCTACGAAATCTGCGCATACGGCGCACCACGGCTCCTCCGGTACTTGGGTTAGCATTTTTCCGGCCGCCTGTAGTTGGCTTGGCTTATACCGCAGGCAGCTCTCGCAGTTTTGCACATATTTCCTTATGTCGCGGTGGGTTCCCGGCCAATGGTATCTGGGTGCAACCCTGGCGATTGTCTTCCGACTGCCAATGTGACTGGCTGTCGGTAAGTCGTGCTTCTCCGACATTACCCGACGCCTGGACCGCGTTGGCACGGTCCACCAGCTTCGCCATGTATCCTCGGGGAAGGAAGAAATTTTGGAAGCTGTAGATAAAGTCTCCCCAGGTCTCCCAGTGCCGACTGTTGGCGATGAACCACTTCAAGGCTCTACCTTGTAGTAGCTCCGGCATTGCTCGTGGGATCTGGTTTATGTCGAGACCGTAAGTCACGACTGACCACTCTACTCTTGCTCCAAAAGTTCCAAGGGCTTGTCGTTTCCGTCGTAGCGGAAATTCCACTCCCGGACCTTTGCGTAGTCCTGCGTGTGCGTCTTGGTGCTCTCCTTCCTTTCCCGCTACTTCCCCCGCTGTCGGCCGTTGCTTGCGATCGATAGTTGCGATCGATGGGTAGCACAATTGGTTATTGCTATGTTAAAAGAGGCAACTTAAGACAACAAAAAGGCAACGACGATGGCAACACTGGAACCCAAATGAAGGGCATCCAGGTAAAACGGGAAACATTCGGACCTTGGACCCTCATATGGCAAGGGCAACGAGGTCATACGGTGAATTCGCGGACTTCGGACCCAACTAAAAAGGACACACCGTGAATTAACGGTTCCTCGATGGACCTTGGACCCGCGCCCGGCAAGGGCAACGAGGTCATACGGTAAATTGGCGGACTTCGGACCCACCTAAAGAGGACACGCCGTGAATTAACGGTACCTCAGTGGACCTTGGACCCGAGGGAAATAACGGCACCTACAGCGCCTATAAAAGGACGGCGCAAGCGCAGCTCGGGACAGTACGAGTGCGAGAATCAAAGCGAGTGCGTGAACGCGGAATAAGTACAAATCGAAAGCGAAGTGCCCAAGGATCGAGATCGCAAAGTCGAGACGCCGAACGACGACAAGTCTACAAGGCTGAGGCTACAACGCTGAGATCCAACGGTGCTAGGTCGTGGTGAAATCAAACTTAGGGAGTCGACAACGGGGAGCAGAATAATAGCAATAAGGCTATTCGGGCCTTAGAGTTGAAGTCTCCGAGCAGGTAGCCGAGGTAATGCTTTGTTCTAATTCTTGTCGCGATTTGAGCTTGGCGTATTGCTCGGCGAGTCCGACAGAATGGAATAGAAAGAGTCCTAGAATGGCAACTGACCGAATCCCGAGAGCCAAAGACCCGCTGCACCTAGTCTCACCAGAGCACGTGTGCCACGGAGCCAGGATTCGCGCCGTGAGCAGATCAAGGACATCGAGGACGCAAGAAACGACGAGCAGTCATCGCTTGCCCAGCAACAACCAAGCTACACTCCGACGTATCCAGTCCACGGCTAAGAGGCGAGGGCGGAAGCATTCGTCTTGAACCTAGCGTCCTGCCACAGGGACTGCATTGGCGGCCTTCCGGCGTATGCCTGAACCGTCAGGTAGAAACTGTGTAGGCGTCTGGTGTGACCGGCCGGGACAGATCCAGAGACAGGAGGCTGTGGCTGTGGCTGTGGCGTACGCTTTGAGAGCACAGTGCCTGTTCACCCTAGTCTGGGAACGGTGACGTATCCCTAGACAACGGAGGCGTTCCGGAAAGCGACGGTGGAGCAGCCACAAATTCATCATTAGTCCCAGGCCGAGGAACAAGTCGGCGAATACAGATCCTAGTATAAACATCCTAACATTCTGTGCGTTCTCAATAGACAATCGGGCGGTCACGTTTATATAAATTTGGTGGGACGAACAACACACATCTTCTGAGCTAGCCGCACGATACTCGTAGCGAGCAGACCGTAAAAGTCAGTTCGTTACAACCTTTAACGCCTGACACCGCGCAAGGACTCCCTAAGTATGATTTGACCACGACTTAGCACCGTTGGTCCTTTGCTGTTGCTAAGCCAATCTCCTGCATCGGGATTTGTGGGGTGTTTAAGACTCCTCACATTTCCCCCTTTCTTTGGAAACGTAATGAAATGTTGGACTTTCCCCGCCCTTGATGTGTGGACTATTCGAATTCCCCGCCTGAATTGCGTATTATATGTCCCCCAGACAGTTCCCTGAAAGACTTAACCTTTCCACAGACTGTTTTCAAAAAGACTTTACTCGTACAGCTCCTTGAAAGACTTGAACTTTCCTGCGATTGTTTCCCCAAAAGATTATCAGACTGCTTCCCTGTTCCCTAGACAGATCCCTGTTCTTCAGACAGTTCCCCGTTGCCCAGACAGTTCCCCGTTCCCCAGACAGTTCCCAGTTCCCAGACAGTTCCCCGTTCCCCAGCCAGTTCCCTGCGTGGAATTTGAATTTTTCCGCCCAGACATTTCTCCCTCGGCCACCTCCTCCCAGCGACGGCCTTGCTGGTGGGGACCGTGACTCCGGGCAGGACGACTGCCGGGCTAATTTAGCCGGCGGTGCGGTCTCCTGGGCTGGCTCTACTGGCAATGGCCACACCCTCTGGATCACGCCCCTCCGGGTCACGGCCGAGCCGTTTTGTTGGCCGCGGCGACCGTAACCCGGGCGACTGAGACGGCCACCATGGCGGCGGTGAAGGCGGTGGTGACGGCAACGGCGGCACTTACGGCGGCACTTGCGGTGGTGCCTGTGGCGGCGGTGATGGCGGTGACTGTCGTGGCGGTTACGGCGGTGCCTGTGGTGGGGTGGCGGAGACTGTGGCGGCGACTGTGGTGGCGGCGGCGATGACTGCTCCTGTGGCCGGCTGCGCCCATAATAAGGCCTCTTCGGCCTTTGCCTGGTCTGCGACTCTCTGGCCGCGACGGCTGCAGGTGCCACCGCCCGCTGGGCGAACACCATCCGCACAACGTCCGCCCTCGCCGAGTAAATCCGCCGAAGCTCCTCCGGCCTCCCCGACGGCGCCGCGTCGCCCAAGCGTATCCGGCTGCGGCCCTCCGGATCCTCCGGAACGACATCCGGGCCTTGGCCGCCCGACGTGGCTCGTCTGAGGAGACCTTAGGACTCACCGCCTCCGTCTCCGCGTCCACTTTTCTGTCCTGCTCCTCCGATGAGGATAAAGCGATGACCTCGGCCTCGACTTCATGCCCTGCCGGCCGGACTCCGGCCTCATCCTCCGATGCCAACTCGACGTCGGTAATGCGTCCCTCGTCTTCTGTCTGCGGGGCAGGTGACGGGAATTGCGACACCAGCGGGACGCCAGCAGCTGGAGTGCGGATGATGGCGACCTGAATTGAATAGGCCCGTCTTGTGCCGCTCGCGCGCTGACGAAGCCTCGGTTTCCTTGCCTCCTTGGTTCCGTTGTCCGCG